ATGCGACGGGTTAACCAATCAGGTACGATTAACAGACAGCCAAAAGTTAATAAGAAAAGCGAGGCGTCAGGAGGCCAGTCAGGCACGGACCTCCAACGCCGACAGTCCATTTAAATAAAGATCGTACTAATACCGTGAGGGTACTTAGCGAAACCCTACACACGTTTCGTTATTTATAATAATAACCATATTCCTTCAAATAAAATAAAAATCAAATGTCGACGTTAATTATAAATCGCCCTCTCCTTTTTTTGGCAGTAATTATATTTAATAATGGATTTTTGCCCATTCCTAAAGTATTACCAGTAACGGGGGTAACAATTGGTTAAGAAACTGAAATGTATGTGAACTGTTGTAACAAAACTCGTATCGATCGCTCGGAACAACGCATAAGTGACTTCACTATAAAAGCCAGAACTGATCGGAAAGAAGAAAGAACAGCTCAACAACATTTGCTTGAAGAAGAGGAAGATCCCCTCTATGGTCCTGGGCTAGCAGATTAATGATAAATAAAATTATCCCTATGTAAATTGCAATTAAAACATAAAACGCGTTTTCCTAGAAACCATGTTTTCTGAAATGGTTGCCACGATCTAGCAAAAACTACTGTACCAATTGAACTCAAATTTTGCACATGTCTTCAGAATATGTGTGGCTATGGTTGGTAGTAGAATTATGCCAAAATATATATTTTTCTGATTTGTAGAGCCTCTGATAGACAAAACAAAGTCGAAAAAATCGATACTTCTTATTCAAAGTGCCGCCATTTCTTTAATTTTCAATATTTTTCTTTTATTTTACTACCGACCATAGCCAGAGGCATACTAAATAAGAATCAATTGGACTTTTTTAATTCAGATAAGCAGAACGGCTCAAATCATGGCAACCATCAACGTACTTTTTTTATTCATGCCCGTGTTTGACGTTCCACAGCAGCCATATTTAATTATTTTTCAACAACAAAAATTTGTAATCATTCTTCAAGGACAAGTAAATACATAGGAATGAAGCTCATGTTAATAACTGTTACTGAACTTCTATAATAAATTAGCAAAAAAGGCCTGAAAAAACGGCTGTCACACTACATAGAATACCCTCCCTTAACCCCTTAACCTACATATAACAACCTGTCAGACTCGTTGCAGAGATTCTGGTCAAAATATATAAAAAAACAAACAGTTATATTATTAAGAAAAATTAATTGTAATCCTAACTTTCGTTTGAATTTGTAAGACTGAGGATTACTAAATATAATTAATCTGTAACAGATTAACTTCTGTTACCTGATACAGTACTGAAACAGTAAATGGCTGACGCTTAGATGCATAGTTAGAAAAAAATCACAGGTTAGGTTAGGTTGAGTGTGAGGACGTGTGAATGAACCTTGGGGGTTTTAGTGCATGCGGGGATTTCAAGGGAGGGGACTTAATTGTGTGTGAATGTGTTTGTATATACAATACCGAGGGTGGGTATATTAGGATAAGTAGTTATAAATAGCGCGCAAAGATGGACAGAGACAATGAAGAACGCAGAGACTTATCGCGAATGTATACTATATACTACGCGTCTTTATAGTGCTGCGCCTAACCCCCCCTGGAAGGTGGCCACCCAAAGTCCCACTGGGAGGGCGTAGCGACTTGGGGGCGACTGCCATAGCTGATCCCAAGCCCAGTTGAGAAAAGTAGAGGGGCCTAAGCTAACTTAACCTTATTGCCACCGGCCACCCAACGCCGGGCGCGGGACGCCTATGTCGCAAGACGGATTCCCTGCGCCCGGGCTGAGGCACTCCAACTCGGCGATGGTTTCGGACCCAAAAAAAAAAAAAAAGGTTAGGTTAGATTAATGTGCCCCTCCAACCCATGCAACTCTTGAATAAAAAATGTTTTCATACAACGCATACTTTAGAAGTTATTAGAGGTGTGCAAGTTGCGTGAACTATCCTGTATACATATAAAAGATTTTCCAATAAGTGCGACGGAACTTTGAACTATCACAGCTGCGATGTTTGTCATTAAATTGTCAAAGTCGCGTGACACTTGTATTCAGTAATGCTTAGCAAGTCATGATGGATAGATACACAGTTACCACATGTCACACTTCTGCTGAAACTATCGCTTTGTTTAAGATCGAAGTGCAGTGATAGGATTATTTCGAGAGATGCAGCTGTCAACTGGCCACAATGGCGGATCCAGGAGCCTTTTTTTTACAAGATTTAAAATTTTCTTGTAATTTATATTTTCATATCTCTATCCGCTACTATACCCGAAATAAATAATTTCACGTTAATTGTAAAAAATCAGAATAATCACAGTAGATAGAATAATCTGTGAGTCAATCGTCTGTTTTGTAAAGAAAACAGATTTTAAAAGTTACAATTAATAAGATTAAAATACTATGAAAAATAATTTTATTTTACAATATAAATTCTGTTCTACGTTTACGAATTTTCGCGAATCGGTCTATAACACGGTCTTCATTTAACTCTGCATAAGCCTAGTGTAATTAAAACTTTTAGGAGAACATTAAAGTAGGAATTCAAGTAATTTAATTGCATTATAAAGAAGGCTACCGTGATTTTCGTCATTTCTTCGCACGATTCGTAGTAGCATTGTTTCTTATTGTTAGACATTTTCAGGCGATATTCTGGAAACGTTCTAAAAACTTCCATGCACGACTGAGCACGCCCGTTAAGCATGCAAATCGCGAACAGCTCGGCAAATATACACTGGCAACGCGTTAAGTATATGTGTATTAGATCGTCCCATAAGTCCGTACCAAAAGCGAGAAATATTTTAATGAAAATCGAAGGAAATTCTATAGCGACGATATAACGATCTTACCAACAAAACAGGAAAAAGTTGTGGAGTGAGAAGGCGCTTACATTTTTTTTTTTTTTTTAATCAAATTTTAAGGTTCGTGAAAAATATTGATCTAAATTATAAAATTCGACACGAACTTGTGGCAAGTTTTCTAGAATGTAACGTAATATTTTTATATATTATTACTCTTGATCGCCCTCCTCTGGATTCACCACTGACTGGCCATCAAAATCTTGCGACTTAACACCATTAGACTTTTCCTTGTGGGGCAATATTAACATATTACCGACCGGTAGCGGTTGAACATCCTACGCACTTCCGACCGCTCACTCGGCCACAGATGCATCACTAGCACCGGCTCTGTTTAGACTCTAGGTTATCGCGCGGGAATATATGCGCTTTTTCTTACACCTGTGGCGACCAGCTGTAGTGCAGAAACAAGCATTTGCCGCGCGGACGACAAACACGGTTTATGACGTGCGCGCTAGCAAAGCTATTTCTGAGAAAACTGTTTTAGTCTGTTTAATATTTAGTAAATCTAACAATGCATGTTTTCGTAGAAACTTTCACCAACGGTCTCAATAGCAATTTGCCAGGTCATAAACCAAGGGTTGCCGAAAGGTCCGCGTACGGGCCCAGAGGCCCAGGCCACATGTCTCAAGTAACGGACCTGGAGGAAAATCCGCGGCGTTGCCAAATGCGCTACAGTCCTGGAAAAAGCACGCCAAGGGCGCAAAGGACTAGCGGCGGGTTAAAGACAACGGACCTGAAGGAAAATCCGCGGCGTTGCCAAATGCGCTACAGTCCTGGAAAAAGCACGCCAAGGGCGCAAAGGACTAGCGGCGGGTTAAAGACAAAATTCCTGATTGGTTGCAACCAATAAGTTGGGGGTAACCAATCAGGAAAAAGAAGAGGGTGAGAAAGAAGCTCGCGAGGTGACTGAAAGTCAGTCAGGCAGTCAGCAGTCAGAAACGATAAGCAGTCAAGTGTAAACCTCGCGAGCCAGCTAATTAATAAAGACTTTAAAAGAACTTACTGTGTGGGTACTAAGTAACCCAGATACACGCACTATCCTCCTACCCTTAAATACCTTTACACGCCTATAGAAATGTTAAATCAAATTTTGACCGATTAATAGGCTATCAGTCGAAAAGCGTCGGCGGCAAAAAAGCCGATTAATAGGCTACCGGACGGTAAAATGTCAAGTCTTTCGTTTATTTCAACAAACCACAAACTATTAACGATATCAAAGGTGAGATACAACCTGATTCATGTGCCAGAGCCATCGAAAATTGAGTTTGCCGTGTTCACTCCACCAAACGCAATCGTGGTGGTCGTTTAAGTGATATTGTATTTCATGTATAGTGCCGTCGAATCTACTTCAGAATAAAACAACGAACACTAGATTATCTTTTGTATTTTTCGTTTTATTTCAATTCAAAGTTCTGTCGCTCTTATAGGAAAACTGTTTGTTTATGCGTGTCCGCGATAGAATTTTGTTTAAATCTAGACATCTCAGGCAGTCTAAAACGCTCCAAATTACAATTTTAGTCTACTACAATATATAAAGCATGTGAACCGATCATAACTATATTCTGACTCCGTTCAAATTGTAATTAAGTACATAATTAGCAAGCAAATAGCGTAGAAAATTCCTTATACATGAGAACCTGTATCTTCCGAACTGATGAATTCCTGAAGCTAAAATTTTATATTTGGGAGTCCCCGCGCACCCCTCATAATACCCTCCAAGTTTCATCTCCATCGCCCACTGAGGGCATTTGTGTAATAGTCTTTTTAATAACAGCCTTATTTTCTTAGCTTGAACGTTTTGATTAGGAATGACCAATACAAATGATTAAAATTTTCTTTATTACAGATAACTAGATTGTGGATTTTTATGCAAATTCATATTTTTATGAATACGATTAAAATAATAGAAACTAGATAGGCAATTGTTTTATTCACTAAATATTATAATGAGTACTATATTTTCGGTTTATTTATATATTTTTGCTAATTATGTACATTTTGTGCCTTCAAATTTTCCATAAATGCATAGAAATCCGCAGTCTACTGATAACTCACATCTATCATCAAAATATCTTTTGATTGATGATAATCTATATCGATTACGAAAAGTTTGTTTTGAAATTAAATACTTCTTTTAAAATTACCGATAGCCGTCTTGCTTTTGCATTTTATTATACGGGCTTTTTTAAGGCGACATACAATAAATAATAATTAAAGAAAATTGCACTATTGATTTAAAATAAACCAAAAACTTCTCCCGTCATCGATATTTTAATTAAAAATTTTTCGATTACTAGCTTCAACTTAAGCAGCAAACTTTTCCTTAATGATTTTTTAAGTAATTGTTATTTTTGATTCCTAATAAAATTTTGCAACAACGGCATAGTGGCTTTACCAAAAAAATAGGAAGAAATTGTGGAACGCGAAAATTATTGCGTTTTTTCATAAAATTTAAAAGAATGTTTGAAATATTAATCTAAATATCAGTATAACATTCACTACAAACTTATGTGATGACCTAATATTAGCTTACTTCGAAGCTTCCTATCCACTCTCTCGATCCAATGAAAGATAGCTCCTTATCTTCCAGCGTGACGAGCACTTCCTGTATCCGTGCGATACTAGGAACAGTCTGTTCCAAATTCCTGTTTTTTATAACCCACGAGCATATCGTTTGCAGCGTCCTGTATCCACATCCCCAACCCTAAATCCATCATATTTTATTCTACT